CACTTTATCGCGGTCGTCATAAACACCTTTGCCCTTGAGCCATTCAATTAAATCGGCTTTAAGACGAAACGCGAAGTCAACGTGTGACTCATTCCCCTTTTTAGCATACCGGAACCTTTGCCTGAAAGCCTCGGGTGACAACTTATAGCGTCTCAAGAGCACTTCCTTAACCTCGTCATAGCTCTCAAATGCTTCCCTCGCCAAGCAAGTTATCGCGTCGGACATTTCGCCAGGATGAAGAGCTAAACGGTTCTGTGCCCAAAGAGACCGCTCCAAAGCGTTTCGCTCACAGACGTGTTCAAACTTGACGAGATACTTCGCCATGTCCTCGCCTACTACGAACGGTGGCAATTGGTCCCGAATTCTGTAACCGCTGACCTGAATCGTCAGAGAAGCTACGCTAGGCGCCTGCGAACACTGTAGGATTGCCAATTCTATTCGTTTCAACTCGAGGCGCTCCTGTCTCTCGGCCTCCTCACGACGTTCACGCCTTTCAGCTTTCTCGCGGCGTGCTTTGATATCCACCCAGGCCTCATCGACTTCCTCAGCTGACACTCTCTCATCCTTCATGATCTCAAGGATCGCTTGCTTTCGTTTCGCACGGCTCAAAGTAATGCCGAGTTCCTCACAAATTTCGATGAGTTCCTTCACTTTAAGGTTCTCCATCGTTCACACTAGCCTCTTGCTGTTTGCCCCTGTTAACAATTTACTTGCCGTACCCACTATAAGTCAACTAGCAAGACGCGCAAGCAATTTTTCACACTCCCGTGTTTACCCCCTCCGCATTAACTTTGGTTTCAAAGCACTTCGACTTTGCTTGAAACAATCAAAGCTCACTTCGATGCTTCACACAGCCCTTCTCTAAACTACAACAACCTGAGATAGAGTAGTCTGGTGAACTGAGGGGAAAACATCAGGCACTCACCGCAACGATGTCGCTGACGCCGGCCGATCCCGCAGCTGCCAACCACTGTTGCGAAGCGCGCCTCCGACGACGTTACGAAGGGTGCCACGAATCTCACCGCTGCAACCACTGTTTCGAAAGACGGGACGCCAACACGGTCCCGAAGGCGCCACTGCTTCGAATTCCACCGGAAAGGTCACCAGCCGTTTGGTAGCGTAGGTTTCTCAGCTCGCGACTGCTTCTGCGCAGAGCTGATAGACGAGCGGACGAGACGACGGTGAGTTAAACAAGGTTTATGTACAGCATATATACAGAGGCGTTACAAAATCGGCACTGGGGCCGACAGAGACGCGACTCTTCTCTCTAACACATAGCTCTACTCTCAAATGGGTCTGCTCTCGACGCGCCGCACGGCTTCTTTTATATGCACCGGGTCCAACCCAAATGTCCAACCAGAAGCGCCGCTGGTCGTGAGGTCAGACTCCTCCAATGGTGTCGCCGCTGGGCCGCGTCATTCTTTCTCATCGAATCTGGAGAGGCTGCGCTGCAGGTGGCTGCACCCAAGGACGAGTGACGTCGCCAGGCATTGCGTCACCCCCCCCCCCAGACAGGAAGACGCCGATTGCTTGCTCGACGGCTCGCTTGCTGAGGTGACTCACTGCACGTGGGTGACAGAAAGGCGCCGTCGCGTGTTGACGCCGTTGAGCTGTTCATCGCGTCAGGCGGGCTCGCGTGCTGGCCTTGACACAGATTTCTTTTTTTCCGAGGCATGGACGTTTGCTGCGGACTCGCAGGCATAACACCATATGCTATTTGAAAATTCCCTAATGACATCGTTTTGATTAAACCGAGAAGGCTACGGCTTCAGCGCTCGCTTTCATGCACCTTACATGCTGCCGCCCCGTAAACGATTTCATCGTTCACTTACAATAAGCCCGCAGCCACGTTGTGCCCTAGCGGAACACAAAACATGTAGATTACGTGCGCCGTATATCAATGCTATAGAACGTCGCTGGGGGTTTTATGCTGGCGCTTTATGTGCCAAAACATCGATAGAATTATGAGGCATTGGATACGTTGTTGAGTTCTCCGGAAAACTGTAAACACCTGGGCTTTCTTTTTTTAACATGCGCCTAAATCAAAGTGGGGCATCCAGCTTTTCCCCTTCCATCGAAAATGCTACTGTGGCGGTGGGATCAAACCTGCCACCTTCAAGTAAGCGGCCGAGTACCGTAACAAATGCACTACAGTGGCGCCCCTGTTGGAAGCTTCGATTGAGATTACAACATTCATATGTGCTGTTTTAGGGTAGGTATCATTCATGTACCACCACTGACGCGTGCCACTTACACAATGGCATGTGTCTACCTGTGGAGGCGGGTAGGGGAGCGATGAGGGGGCTCGGCACAGAATAGAACGCCTGCCTATAAGATGATGAAGAGAAAGGAGAGGACGAAGCGAGCGTGTTTCGCTTCATGATGCTGATATTTTGTGTTTTCTCTGAACAGACTAATGGCAGGGTTAAGCAGCTCCACTCTAAAATAAGGGGGGGGGGGGGGGGGAAGCAACGCTGTAACGCGAACATGCGACATTGATATAGCCATTGTTTAACTATTTTAACCGATAAATGCTGTCCGCAAATAAGATATGATTGGGAATCTATTAACTCATTCGCCACACCCAGCCAACGAATATTCGCCAATGGCAGGTTTCCGGGACAAATGTAAACATTAAATAAAACTCTTATGGAAATGGTGGCACAAAGACTCGTGCCACAGGAGAAAAAAATATATACCATCTCCCGCTAAGTGGAACCACTTGTAGATGTGAAGCAGCGGGCGCTAACGTTTACACAGGGGGCGGCGTTCACGCTGGTGCTCATCGCGGAGTTGCGCAGGAGAGAAACTTGGTGAGGCGCAAAACACCCAGTGATGGACCGAAGCTTCCTACTGAAACATGCCAATTGCTGCTAATGGATAATGAAGACAGGAGACTCCGACTGGACACAGGTACTGACAGTCTGCTTTCAGTTAACCGCCATGCTGCGAATTTTTATTGTTGAACAACGTAAAAGAGAACTCTTCCACCAGCAAACCTTGGAGGTCACGGGCGAGTGCTTGCGTCCGTGTTGAGAGGCGAAAGAGGGAAAGCGTAGCAGAAGAGAGTGAGGGAGATGGGACGAGCATGCGCAGAAAGAGTGGTCACGCCAAACACCGGACTGACCTCGACCATAGGATGCTTCGCATCTAAAAAGTAATCACCCGAGTTATATGAAAAATCTGACTCACGGTTCGAATATATTTCCTCTAAATGAACCCGAAAGTAATAGTACGCGACAGCGGCGCCAGTCGTTACAACTTATTTTCAAGGGCATGCCACCAAGCACATGAATTTATGCATTACCATCAACAACCTGCCTTCATTTTCACATATTGAATCGTTACACCGAGAAGCTACTGAAACTGTGTTCACCCACCACGGTAGTCTAGTGGTTATGCTGTTCGACCGCTAGACCGATGGTCGTCAGGTATTAGGGAGATTTAGAATACCGTTTGCAAGCACTGCGGGCGTTGCGGGCGTATGCGGGCGCCATACGAGCTTTAGAATAGCGTTTGCGCTGCTGCGAACCGCAACGCACGATCGCAGCGACACCGTAGCCTCGAAACCAGCGCTTGCTGGCCACATGCGGGCCGCCATCACCACACGCAATTTCTAATTTTTTTTGTGCGGTCCGCGAACGCGAACGCCGACACGCGCTACGACGCATGCGCAGTGGCAGCGACCGCACCGCAAGGGCTCGCGTTGCGCTATTCTAAATCTCCCTATTATCCAGGCAGCGGCAGCCGCCTTTTTGCGGAGGCAAAATGCGGCAGGACGACGTGTTTACTCTTAGGTGTACGTGCGATGTCAGTGCACGTGAAACACGAAATGGTCGAAATTTCCGGCACCCACCCCTACGGCGTTTCTAATATTCATATCGTGGTTTTATGAAGTAAAATCCCAGTTATTACTAATCATTGTTACACACACACGCACACACACACACACACAAACGCACGCACACACACACCCACACACACCAGCACGCACACACACACGCACGCACGCGTGCGGTTTGTACATTTGGGGGAATCATGCCTACCAGAGCGCCCATCGGTCGGCCATATTGTGTTTAGACGTTGTGCAATTTCTTTCTTATAGCAATTGTCCCCACTCATGACATCACATTACGAGAATTTGATTTCTTAGTCCTGACAAAAAGGATGAAGGGAGCCCTAGCACTCCATCCATCAAGTTGGTGGCTCTCGGCGATGGCCCAGGCCCTCTGGACAGCCTGCAGTGATGTCAGAACTGCGAATATCTTCGTCCCACTTTACCTGATTGTGCGGCCTGAAGCCCACATTGAATGGGTACAGCCAGAGAATATGATCCAGAGAGCAGGCCACGTGGCCGTATTTAGAGCAGGACCGCGGAGAGTCAGGATCAATGCAATTAAGTGCTCTCGGGTTGGGATACGCTGGCGTCTGCAATAACCTGAACGAAACCGAGTGAGCCCTATTCAACTTGGTAGTATACGGAGAGAAGGTTGTCCTGCCTAGTCTGTAATGCGAGATAATTTCGTGGAATGTAGATTTCGGCTCTGTAGGGGTACAATCCAGGAGAACAGTTGGGGCCTCTGAACAAGCGTGGTGCGCGAAAGCTCGCGCCAGAGTCCCCCTCATTAAGATTTAACCCAGCCAGGTTAACGGCTCCGTGCGTTGGGAACCAGTAAATGTGATGCCCTTTCTTCTCATTAATCAAATCCCTCTTTTACAGCCCCCCCTTTCAGTCTTCCTTGTCAAAATGTACCTAATTTCGTACTTGCTGTCTTGCGTGCCTGTTAAATAAATGCATTTCTTTTTTAAAGTTTCAGACTGTTTAGAGGGGCCGTAAACGTTCTGGGAGACCTCTGTGATCCGACGTGGGACTTCCCAACGCCTGGTTGGAGACCTACTTAATTGGCCCGCTGCCTCACCTCTCCAAACCAAAATAAACATGTTTGTCATGTCGCGTTATGTGCATGTCTAAGCTTTCTCGCTTATTCTTTTCTCACTAGTTTATTTGAACAATCTCTCATGGGAAGAATGTCATATTTACATACAACTGTTTGCAATGGTTCTTGGCGGCGAAGGCTGAAACATTAGACGCTAGTTTTCACGTTCTTTCCAGCTTTTCGTCTCTTTGTTTCCTCTTTTACCTTCTTCCGTACTGACTCATCGAGTCTACACTTGGACATCTTGCTCTTGCAGGTATTGTCTGTCCCGTTTTTGACACACTCTCCACCACAGCAGACTCCTTTTTCGTGTCCGCTATCTTCAAGCTGAAAAATGAATACCACAGTTAGACCACGAGCAGTCTGGACGCTCAGCAAGTGAGCGCTTTTATAACGATATAAACACAATATCACTTCGGCTCACGCTTTTTTTTCTGCATAGTGTTCTGCCATTACTACCTCATCTCTCAACCCCAGCCGTTACTGCGCTCAAATGCTCATGGTCAGGCATTCGCGTTTCTCAGACCTTTCTTCTGTGTGTACGCCTCAGTGGATCAGTGGCTAGAGTATTTGGCTGCTGTGCGTCCCGAAGGTCGTGGGTTCAATAGAGGAGAAATGCTAGAGGAGAGAGTACTGTCCGATGTCAGTTCGTGTCAGAGAACACCAGATGGTTAAAATTCCCTCAGCCCTCCACTACGGCGTCTGTCATAACCATATCATAGTCCAGGTGTGGTTCATTGAACATTGTGCAACGTAAACAGTGGCTACAATGGAGGAGGGACTGAGCCAGAGCGTAAAAAAACTTCGCCCGTAAAACAGCTGGAGAGTTACACAGAGTGAGCGGTTCGATAGGCTAGCGTTCTGTTTACGACTATCAAGCAGCACAGCCCGAACGGAAACAAATATAATGCATTCGTGAATGGTACCCTGCCACGTCGCATTGGCACCGCGTTCAGTGCACAGTTAGGGATTATTTATTAAAGCAAAAGTCTTGAATGTTTCATCCGACATGCACGTTTACCATCGGCGGCGTCGTTTTCGACACTAGTGATGACGTCATCACATGACGTTGCTAGATAGGTAATTTTTTCAACGAACACGCACTATCCTGACGCTACTGGGGCGTCACATCATATGACATCACTTGATTACCTCCTCACATCACATCGTCGCTTTGTCAAGAGACGTCCTATCATGGAGGCAATGCAAAACTAGTGTGCAAAAAGATGGCAATGTCTACGATTCTGAAGGCTGCCCAAAAGTACATTAGGTGCAAAACGGTTTCGGAGGTGAGGGAAGGTCAGTGCATTAACTAAGAAGACAGAAAACGCTAGCTTCCACCTTACAGTCGTCTAAAGCAAATGTAGGCACCTCACGATTTGTAGTTTTACCGTCAGGGGCCATTATTTTTTTATTATTACTGCGATGAAGATGCCAAAGAGGAGATCCTAATCAAGCAACCATTCGTTGCCAATTATGAGTGTTTACTTCTAGCAGATGCCGTGGGCTGACAGAGTAAATAATTGCATCGCTTGCCACTTTGTCCGTCATACTTCGTTCTTGTGCTGTTTGGTGAACATTTAGAGTTTGAAGATCTTCCAGAACATTGACTTATGAATTCATATTTTAACCGGCACATTCTGGGGGCCAGGACGTAATTGAATTAACAATATCAAAACGTTGTTTGAACCCGCCACTGTGTTGTAGTGGCTAAGGTTGCGGGATCGAATCCCGGCCACGGCAGCCGCATTTTAGATGGACGCGAAAATGCTTGAGGCCCGTTTGCATAGATTTAGGTGCACGTTAGAGAACCCCTGGTGGTCGAAACTTTTCTAGCCCTGCACTGTGGCGTCTCATAATCATGTCGCTGTTTGGGGACGTTAAACCCCTACATTTACTATTACTAAAACGTTGTCACGATCTACACCGAGTCGAATGAGGCTACTGTCTAGTACGCACTATACGGAAGGGAGAAAAACAAGAGAGAAGTCAGGGAAGTTAACCAGGCACATGCACGGTTTGCTACCCTACGCTGGGTGAGTGGGAACGAGGAGTATAAAGATGAGAGATAGAAGAAAGGGAAGAGAAAGAGACAAGTAAATTGTCAATAAATTGGCGGACGCGTATGCAGCCATGGTACTATGTAAAATTCAAAGGCGTTCACATAGGCCCGTAGTCCTCAAAAAGCGCAAAAGGGATTTGACTGTCCTGTGACTTGTGAGCCGACGAAAGACGGGGACGGTGCTCCAGCAGCATCTGCACAAAGAGTGACCCATGGGCAAGTTGTCGCAAGGCGTCAGAAAGTTTTCGTCTCTCAGAGGCAAGTCGAGGACATAGCAGATGGTCGATGTCTTCTTCGGTGCGGCGAACCTCGTCTTCTACACTGTCGGTCACTCCAATGACGGTTGTATAAGCTTTTGTGAAGGCAACCCCCAACAAAAGCCGACAAGTAAGCGAAGCTTCACGTTGACAAAGCCTGGATGGTGGTCTAAGTTACAGTCGAGGGTTTATTTGGTGAAGTCTTGTATGTCTTATGCTTGGGGTGTTCCACTCCAGCAAACACAGACTACGTGCCTGTGACAAAGTTGCCTTGCAGCGTCTGTCCTTGACAGAGGAATAGGAAGGGTGTGCTCTTTTTGGTGGGATGTGCGAGCCGCGTCGTCTGCTCAATCATCGCCAGTGATCCCACAATGTCCAGATAACCACTGAAAGTTGACCTCATGGCCAACTCCTGTGACGTGGTGATGAATCCTGGCAATTTCGTACGTAAGCTGTTGGTGGCAACTTCGTCGAAAACTGACTGCATGCACTGTAAGGCTGGTTTCGAGTGAGAAAATACAGCCCCTTTGCTAGATTTCTGAGATGCGATGTACTCTAGAGCACCACGCAGAGACGCAAGTTCTGCCACCATAGGCGTAATGACATGTGACAGCTTCATCAGCAGGGTTATTTCTCGAGCTGATATCACTACCGCACCACCAAAACTAGACGCTGTGCTTGAGCCATCAGTGTATATGGGTACATGGTTACATCAAATTTCGTGCAAGAAGGGCAGGCTCAATTGTTTTAGTGCTGGCGAAGGCAAATTTATTTTTTATGCATTCCTGGAATCGTGAGACGTACTTGTGGAAGGGTCAGGCATCACGGAGGATACACTGGCTTCTCCGCAGGTGTGTAACCTGGCAAGTAGTGCTGACTGAGGGAGTTGGTGCATGATAAAATAATATCACTTTAGCGCAGCTCTGTTTGAACGTGAAGAAAATATGCTAAACGGTCAAAACACCCTTTTGACCGTATAGCATCTTTTCTTCTCGCTTAAACTGAGCTGCGCTAAATCAATACCATCGTATAACCGAACGTGAATGATCCATGATGCGCACCGACGATTGCACTAAATGTCACACGGGTCTTTCAGTAGCAAGGCTCGCCAAGCGGTATGAGCGGTAAGAAGGCTCTTAGCATATTACCTGAGGTAAGTACGCATCGTTTCATTGATCCTGTGCGCCATGATAGGGTAGTCCTGCGCAAGTGTAATGGTTTCAGTCGTTGATTCACAGTGGCGTAAACAAAGGTATATATATCATAAGAGCTTGGGTTTGAGTGTTTTGGAGTGCGCGCAGGTTATATTATGCGCGTGTTAGATATTTCAGGTGGGTCGCACCGCATGAATCTAATAAATAATACTTTGTACATCTGTAACATGAGCTCGGTGGACACTCCCCAAATTTTTCCGGCAAGGAACCTGAACAAGTGCCAAGAAGCAGTCAGCCGCTTTTTCACGAAGTTTGTGCGTGGTCCACGACAGCTATCGGTCGCTAATGAGAAGCTGTGACTTCGGCTGGGAAAACACCCGTTAATTGCCCGTTAATTGATATGCCATAAGCGGGCATTGTCTTTCTTGTGAACGACACGACTGCACACTTACCACTTGCGATCTCGAGCCCTTGTTTACGTCGATAGTACGATGTCACTAATGCTGCCTTCTGAAGCCGAGCACGAAGTTGCAAGCGAGTCACACTAGACGGCCATACACAGATGTCATCGGCTTAATTGGAAAGTCGTACGCTGCTTGGCTGTTTGTCAACTAGTCCAATGAGTGTTACGTTGAACAACGTTGGACTTAGCACACCACCTAGCGAGACTCCTCGGCTACAGTAATACTGGGGTGTCGGGCCATTCCCTGTCTGCCCGTCAAACGATTTATTCCGTAAATAGGAGTGAGCCCACATATAGATCTTGCCACCAAGTCCTGCTACTTCTGATACACCGAGGATGGCTTCGAGGGTGACATTGTCGTAAGCCCATTCAATGTCAAGAAACGGATCAGCAGATAATCGTTTACAGGCCTTCTGGTGTTCTGCATATGTCACCAAGTCAACTACATTGTCAATTGATAAGCGACCTCATCTGCACTCGGACATGGCATCTGAATATCTTTCTTAGAACTCTCAGTATCATTCCAGACGCATTAGAATCATTCTTTCTATAGCTTTTCCCACACAGCTCACGAGGGTGATCGGGCGGTATGAGCAAATGTCCAAAGGTGACTTGCCGGATTTGAGAAGTGGAATCAGGCGATTTGACTGCCATTCCTGTGGAACCCTGCCAGTTTTCTAGCATCGGTTACAGCAAGAGCGCCTTCCGAGATTGATCGTACTTCCCCATCTGAAGTCATTACGCTATTCGGTAGAATAAAAAATGGTCGAAGCTGTGATCCTGACGACATACAAATGCGACCAATAAAGTATGTATTAGACCTCATAGCGGAAGTGCTAGCACATATGTACAACATATGTACAACTTATACAGCAGGTATTTTCCCAACCAACATGCAACTAGCGAAAGTTACTGCAATATATAAGTCCTGAGATAAAAACAACTTAAGCAATTATCGCCCAATATCTATACTACCAGTTTTCTCGAAATGCTTTGAAAAAATAATAAACGGTAGAATTGACAGTTTCTCGAAAAAGCACAATCTAATAACCGAATGCCAATATGGTTTCAGAAAGAAACTTTGAACAGAAAGTGCCTTAGTAGCACAAAAATAAATCATACTTTGCAATATCGAAAAGAGACTTTTGACACTTGCATCGTATTTGGAATTTAGTAAAGCCTTCGATCGCGTATCTCATGAACTGTTACTAAATAAATTAGAATGCTATGGATTTAGGGGAATACCACTCAAACTTAGGCAGTCATATCTGAGTGCGCGGTCTCAGTATGTTGAAATAAATGGCATTAAATCGCACACACAACCAATTAAAAACACGCTACCACAAGGTAGTATTCTGGGGCCTGTATTGTTTTTATACTACATAAATGAT